TGATACAAAGGTAATGGAACACAGTCATAACAAAATGTAACACACTGTACTCAGTACAGACAGAAAACTTATATTTATCATACACAGATAAAAATATGGCTAACCGCTATTCTTCTTTGCCAAATCTTTTATTCTGTTCGAGAAGCAAATATCAGGTGACATTGTACACCACTCCAGACTAAGAACCCTGTATATTGTGATATATATTATCTGCAGAAGGAGAATACATTTTATGTGTATATAAAAGGTTATAAAAGGAAAATCATCTATCTTTCCAATGATACTAAGCATTTTTGTACACCAACTAGAAATTTGGGATTGCATTTTTACTGAAAGTTGATCTAAACTCCTAAAATGTGTAAAACAACTTAGTTTAGGTCAAACTATAGCTGTAACAAATTCTCAGGTCCCTGTGTGCTAAGCTACAAACTCTAGGTTACACGGTTCATTTTAAGATATGTTTCACCAATGTGGCCAGTGTAGAATATGGTCAGAGTAATTTACCAACTTGACAGCCCCTCACCTCAGCTAGCTACATGGCAATAACATTGTTGATAGTGAGAAGTACTTGAATACAAAGTCATAAACGTCTGTTCCAGAAGTTGATAATCCTAAGATTTATCCTAGCAAGTTATATAATTATGCTAAATATAACAACCTGGGCAAGTACCAAAGGATCAAACAAACCATGTTTAAAATGGTCTACCAGCCGGGGCTAAGTAAATGTTCCTATCCATCTCAAACTGAAGCATTCACCACTAGAGACCTAGGGATCAAGCATACTAGGTTTGATCAGGATCCCTTTAGTGCTTTCAGAGAAAAAGCAGTACCAAACCGACTCTTCATGCAATAAAATCATGGATACAAAATTTCAACATGGTCTGGGGACCCTTTTGTTTTTCCCCCCCCAAGATCCTTTTGGTTTTCTAAATCCAAGAGTTTAAAACATGCAGAACTTAAACGGACCAAAGTTACAAAGTTATCCTTAATCATACCAAGTTTGATTATGATCCCTTTAGCAGTTTCTGAGAAATAGTGGATACAAAGAAAAAATTCACAGGCATAAAAAGTAATCAGACCTTGTAAAATCTATAGACATATTCTTCAATGTCAAAGCCATAAACGTATTATGATAAAACTTTCACTAAAGTGATCCTGTATAATGCTTACCTTGGTTTCAAAGTACTTAAACTCATTGTTACAGTCCTTAATGAACAGATTAGAGGACAGAATCAACTTTTTATTAGGAATCAAGTCCAATAGGTAGCACTTTGATTTGTCTGCCGCATCCAGTTTCTTTCCAATCTTTTTCAAACAAGCATCCAGTCGTACCAACTCTGGGTTGGTCTGAAATAATAAAGAAAAAGCACATACAATCCACTGAAAAGGGGTGAGGATCGAGGTTTTAACGTCAAACAGGTTATCTGGAACCTATATATTGCAACATTAGACTACATTAAGCAGTAATGATTTATTGTTTGTAATTTATCACATAATGTACTGTGCTATCCAGTGAATATTAACCCATGTAATATGACCTATCAGCCCTGTGATTGGTTGTAAGTTTCAATTGTTTTAATTGTGATGTCACGCCTAGGACAAGTACATGACGTCACAGACTTACACACTAGAGTAAAAATGGCGGCGTTTTTACGTTTCAAGGTTGCATGAAAATTGTCGTTTTACACGAATAAATGCCACAAATCTTGATTATGAGATAAAAAGGATTTTACACTCAATTTTTTTTTTATATGAAATTGTACGCTAAATTGAACAAGAGGCCCATGGTCACCTTATATATTTATACAGAGAGTTGATTTTGTTTTTAACACGAACAGAAATATTATTCAAAGTGACAAAAAAACAAAAAAACACCTTATTCAATATCTAGCATACAGATTTAAGACTAAAAAGTATTTGAAACTAGCACCTCTGATTTTAAACAAGGACAAGAGGCCCAAGGGCCTTAGCAGTCACCTGAGTTATATCATGGGTACTGGTAGCTTTATTTTATTGTTTAGATGTGATGTGGAAATCAGCATGTAAACTAAGTGAAATACAATACTTGTTTTGTCATCAAAGGATAAGAATTTGAAAATATTGGTAAATGTTCCCTTTGGGGCCCCGCTCTAACCCCTGGGGATGGGGCAGGAATTCCAAGTTTACAATGTGATACCGTCATCCACCAAAGATGATTCTGAACAAGTAAAAATAATTTCCAACAGAAAATTGTCAAAATATACCCAAAAGTGTTGTTTCCCTATATAAACTATAGTAACCTTTACCCCCTCCCCAAGGGAGAACGGATAGCTCGGGGGTCCTGAAATTTACAATTTAAATAAAGACCCTGATGATCTTTCCATCCATGCAGAGAAAATGACTGTAATACCTCTGAGTCTGGAGAAGAAGATTTTTGAAAAATTGGTTAATTTTCCCTTTGGGGCCCTGCCCTGGCCCCTAGGGTTGGGNTTCCCGGGTGGTCAGTCAGGGTTGGTATGTGCATACCATCAAACTGCTATCCAATACTGATAATGCTAACCTAAATTGAATTACTTCTAATGGAAATTAAACAAATGTTAGTCCAAAATGTGATTTCCCTATATAAACTGTAGTAAAGCTTACCCCCTCCCCAGGGGAAACGTGAGACCCCAGGGTCAAGAAATTCACAATTTTGGTAAAGCACCTTAAGACCCTTCCATCTATGAAGAGTATTTGATTCTACCATATCTGGGTCTTGAGAAGAAGATTTTTGAAATTTTAGTCAATTTGACCCTTTTGCCCCGCCCCTCAAACCCCTGGGGGCTGGGGACCAAATAGGCCACTCTTTTTGTTGACCTTTGGCCATGGAAGGTTTCTGCAAAATTTCATTGAAATTGGTTCAGGGGTTTTGAGGAAGAAGTCGAAAATGTAAATTGTTTACGGATGCACAACGGACAAAAGGCGATCGCAATAGGTCACTTGAGACTTTGTCTCAGGTGACCTAAAAATTCTTCGACTCGTTTCATAAATCTCATATGAAATGAAAAGGAGTGTAAGATCCTATATGTATGTGATCTAATCTTTGAGCAGGGTGACAGTCCAGCAATTCATCATCCACATTTACCTACTAACCTTCATTAAAAAGCTCAGGTTAAATTTATGAAATGTTGATAAAAATTAACCTGCAATTTTCAGAGATGTCTTTCTTAAAGGTTTTGCATTCTGTGGTCTGCCCATCAATCCCTTTTTGAGTATATATTCCATTCCTCGTCATCCAAAAGATCATTTTATGGAATGTAAGTGGAACTCCAACTATAAGTTTCACCGGAAACATCCTCTACAGCTTTTGCATTCTGTGGCCCCTATTGTCTCAGCCTCCAGAAGAACAGACGACTACGGATAAAAACTTCTAACTTTTATGTTCACTGTAATAATAATGTTCTATACTTACCTTGATCATTTTATTCACATTGGCTAATGTGCGAGGCTCATCTGGTTCTAGTTCATCCTTGATGCTTTCCAATATTATTGATTCTGCATTCAATATTTCCAGTCCAAAGATTTGTGACAGATCACTTAATATCCTCCCTTTCTTACTCCCTGGTCCACCTGCAAATACAACAAGAAACAGACGTAAAACTAAACATATCATGTTTTCATTGAAATATCTACATTCAGTGTAAAGCTTTATCTTGTACAGCCTCATAGAGTAAGTCCCAAAGGCCCAATAGAAGGATATAGGATTTTGTAGCTGAAAATGCTTATTTCCATGTTCTGAACTAGAAGCATTTAGAGGAAAAGTTGACAATGGACGAAAACTGGTACTGCATCATGGCAGGCGAAATAAACATGTCAACTTTTGTTTTATTGATTTTAATCAGTCCTTTAAAATATTTCTTTCAAATTTTGTGCGTGCTGTGAAATTTACAATTTACACTGTCAAGTGTAAACCTTTCCAACACTGCATAAGTAACAGCTGACCGATTTATTCATGGCACTTCTTTATATGGGGACAGTGAGGTTGAACAAACTTTAACTTTAGGCCATGTGATGGAATAATAAACCATAGCACAGTGTGGTTTACAACTGAGCCAGAAGGTATTGCTGCCTCCGCAGTCCTGCTGTTACTTTATGTTCAGTTCAGGATGCTCAATCAAAGAGACTATCATGCAAACTGAGGGGTGGATTTTGTAATTTCTGCCTTACTCACAATAAGTAAATGGATATATTATTGCATTAAACTGCATGTGGCAAGTTTTGAAAGATCTCCCATTGTCATGAATGAATGTACATGGTAGTTTCAATCCAACGCAAATATTTTTTAATCAATTCTTCCACTCTAAGCGTGAAGTCTGATAATGAAATATCAATATTTAATATATACTACACCAATTGTTTTGTGCACAGTTTGACATCCTCACATAAATAACCTAGATAATCAATGCTGTATCACATGGAATATTGTATCACATGGAATATTGTATGGAATATTGTATCACATGGAATATTGTATGGAATATTGTATCACATGAAATATTGTATCACATGGAATATTGTATGGAATATTGTATCACATGGAATATTGAATCACATGGAATATTGTATCACATGGAATATTGTATCACATGGAATATTGTAGGGAATATTGTATGGAATATTGTATCACATGGACTATTGTATGGAATATTGTATCCCATGAAATATTGTATCACATGGAATATTGTATCACATGGAATACTGTATGGAATATTGTATCACATGGAATATTGAATGGAATAGTGTATCACATGGAATATTGAATCACATGGAATACTGTATCACATGGAATATTGAATCACATGGAATATTGTATCACATGGAGTATTGTAAGGAATATTGTATGGAATATCGTATCACATGGAATATTGAATCACATGGAATCCTGTATCACATGGAATATTGAATGGAATAGTGTATCACATGGAATATTGAATGAAATAGTGTATCACATGGAATAGTGAATCTCATGGAATACTGTATCACATGGAATATTGAATCATATGGAATATTGTATCACATGGAATATTGTATCACATGGAACACTATATGGAATATTGTATCACATGGAATATTGTATGGAATATTGTATCACATGGAATATTGTATCACATGGAATATTGTATCACATGCAGTGATAATAAACAACCTAATTATTCCAACCAACTGTTCAACACCTGTAAATCAATAACAACATCTTATAGGGACAGCATGCACTGCCATCAGCAACTCAATACAGTATTAATAACAACAGCACAAACGGCCTCTACTGCTCACATGGTTTTTATGTTTTTATTTTTAACACAAATGACATTTTAATCTTGATAGTTGGTCTAAGTCATTCATTCAAATGAGCACTACATCCAAGAATGCCACTTCACAGGCAAAACATTATGGCTCTATACCTTATTGTTCCATAGAAGTTGTTTGTACACTCTTCACCCTTGTGACTTTGAAAGTTGGGCAAGGTCATTTATTTGAACAAATCTGATAGATCACAGCAAGTTAAACAAGAATTCCTCGGAAGTGGATGTGTCGCCTGCGCAGGAAGCTGGGAGATTACGAAGAAATAGATACACTTTTCATTTCAAGAAATAATGTTAAAAGAAAGCAATAATCATAGATTATTTTTTGGGATGGCATCATTTTGTTATATAATCTGTTATTCTGGGAAGAATTTAAGGAACTTGCTATGGATACTCATTGTCTCAATTCCAAGTTTAATTTGTATGATTTGTCGAATGGTTTCCCATAAATAAATGAATAAACTTGTGGATTATGATGTTAAACAGCTAGTGTTGTCAATAACATTTGGAGTAAGACGGCATTTCAGAGGTATACACGGTGGGTCAAGTGGTAGATCGAAGCCGTCCCATATACAGTTTTAGTGAAGTTTCTATTTATAGTAACAGAGACCTTGACCTTTGACCTGCGGACCTGAAAAGCAATCCCAAGCAAGCACTTTTGGTAAGGAAGCACTGCATGAAGTTTGAGTTTGATCGGCCCAAGGAAACTCAAGTTATCCCACGAAAACAGATTATCTATTTATAGTAACAGTGACCTTGACCTTTGACCTGCGGACCTGAAAAGCAATCCCAAGCAAGCACTTTTGGTAAGGAAGCACTGCATGAAGTTTGAGTTTGATCGGCCCTAGGAAACTCAAGTTATCGCACGAAAACAGATTTTCTATTTATAGTAACAGTGACCTTGGCCTTTGACCTTCGGACATGAAAAGCAATCCCAAGCAAGCACTTTTGGTAAGGAAGCACTGCATGAAGTTTGAGTTTGATCGGCCCTAGGAAACTCAAGTTATCGCACGAAAACAGATTTTCTATTTATAGTAACAGTGCCCTTGACCTTTGACCTTCGGACCTGAAAAGCGATTCCAAGCAAGCACTTTTGGTAAGGAAGCACTGCATGAAGTTTGAGTTTGATCGGCCCAAGGAAACTCAAGATATCGCACGAAAACAGATTTTCTATTTATAGTAACAGTGACCTTGACCTTTGACCTGCGGACCTGAAAAGCAATCCCAAGCAAGCACTTTTGGTAAGGAAGCACTGCATGAAGTTTGAGTTTGATCGGCCCTAGGAAACTCAAGTTATCGCACGAAAACAGATTTTCTATTTATAGTAACAGTGCCCTTGACCTTTGACCTTCGGACCTGAAAAGCAATCACAAGCAAGCAAAATAAAAAGTACCACGACTGTTTAACTCAAAGTTTTGTAAAGGTAATAAGGAGATTTTAACACATATAATGTTAAAGGACAAACACTCATAAACACAAACTGGTTTCAGATGTATAAACTATAGTCAAGTTTACCCCTCCCCAGGGGGAAACGTGATACCCAAGGGTCATGAAATTCACAATTTTGGTAGACCACCTTAAGACCCTTCCATCTATGAAGAGTATTTGATTCTACCATATCTGGGTCTTGAGAAGAAGATTTTGAAATTTCAGTCAATACAACCCTTTTTTGCCCCACCCATCAGCCCCGGGGGGTCAGTCAGGGCTCATATGTGCATACCATCAAACTGCTACCCAATACTGATAATGCTAACCTAAATTTAATTACTTCCAATGGAAATTAAACAAATGTTGGTCCAAAATGAGATTTCCCTATATAAACTATAGTAAAGTTTACCCCCTCCCCAGGGGGAAATGTGAGACCCAAGGGTCATGAAATTCACAATTTTGGTAGAGCACCTTAA